GAGTTTTGTTTGCTTTACCAGCTGTGACATCACATTGGTGGCTCATGTTCATCTTGTGGTCAGTCATGACCCCCAAGTCTCTTTCAGCTGTGGTGCTTGCAGATGTAGCACTGCCAAGCCTATAAGCGTGCTGCAGGGTTTTTTTCCTGAGGTGGGAGTACCTTAAATTTTGTGGTATTGAACATCATCAGGTTTGTGTCCACCCACTTACTAAGCTTATCCAAGTCAGCCTGGATTGCTAGCCTATCCTCAGGTGTGGACACTGTGCCCCAAAGTTTAGTGTCATTGGCAAACTTGGCCAGTGCACTTCTGACCCCAATGTCCACATCACTGATAAAGATGTTAAAGAGAACCAGTCCAAGGACAGAGCCTTGGGGGAGACCACTGGTCGCGGAGCGCCATAATGATTCGCTTCCATTGACTACTACTCTCTGGGTCCAACCTCAGAGCTAGTTTCCCAGCCATCAGGCTGTTGTATAGCCAAAGCCACAGTTGGCCAATTTTTCCATGAGGAGATCATGGGACACCAGATCAAAGGCTTTTTTAAAGTCCAGATATATAACGTCAATCTCTTCTCCCTTGTCCAGGTAATATGTCACCTGGTCATAGAAAGAGATGAGATTGGTCAGACAAGACCTACCCGTGACAAACCTGTGCTGGCTGTCCCTCAGGATGTTACCATCAGCCAGCTTATCCAGAAGGCTCTCCTTGATAACTTTCTTCAGAATCTTACCAGGGATTGAGGTCAAGCTGTTTGGCCTGTTAGTCCTGGGACCTACTTTCCACCCTTTCTTGAAGATGGGTACCACATTGGCCTTCTTCCAGTCTTCAGGTACTTCACCTGAGTGCCACGAGTTTTCTAATATTTTTGCCAATGGTTGGGCTATGACACCTGCCAGCTCCTTGAGTACTCTAGGGTGTAATCTGTCAGGACCAGCTGACTTGAAGATGTCCAGCCTCTCAAGGTGTTCCTTTACTAGATCAACACCAGTGCTGGGTATAAATACGCCCTTACCCTGGCTGTCCCGTGACATGCTAGGCAGGGCGGTCCCTTTGGGCTGATGAAAGACTGATGCGAAGTACCCATTAAGCAGGTTGGCTTTTTCCTGGGCGTCAGTTATCAGTTGTGGGTCCAATGTTACCCTTGCTTTTTTTCTGACTCCCTACATATCTGAAAAAGGACTTTTTTATTATCCTTGATATGTGAAGCCAGATGGAGTTCGGTTGCAGCCTTGGCTTTCCTGGTCCACTCTCTGCAGACATGGACTAGTGCTGAGTACTCCTCCTAGGTGGTTATTCCAGCCTTTATAAGTCTCTCTTTTTAGGTGTAGGAGGTCCTCCAGTTCCCTGCTGAGCCAAGGGGGTTGCTGTGTCCTTTTGCTACCCTTCCTCCAAGATGGGATCGACATCCCTTGTGCTGTCAGGATTGCTCCCTTCAGGAGCAACTACTCCTCTTGGACTCCTCTTCCTGTCAAGTCATGGTCTGGCCTCGACAATGAGCCAACAAGCCTCCTGAGTTATTCAGACCTTACACAACACAGTGACTGTTGTTAGTACATTTCGTCTTGTTTTCCTTAAACACTGTATTCAAAATGCTAATTTTGGATAAAAAAATTACTTTTGAAAGCAGATTCTACCAACGCATACACTCACATACATATTGCCAGGCATACCTATGTGGCGGGCCAGTAGGGGGCACTACTATGCTGAGCCACCTGCTTCACTGTGCCCGCCACAGGTTTGTCTGAGGTAGTTAATAAGCAGCCAAGCTCTTCTGGGAGCAAAAGAGCATCTCTGACCCCTCTTCCCTCATACATTCACAGCTAGACTCACTGAGCCAAATATCCTTTTAATGATCAAAGAGAATAGGGAAGGGGGTATCACAAGGGAAGTTAAGAGAAAAACACTGTGAGCAATT